GACATGTATAAAGGGTGTGGCCACCAATTGCTGTTGAACAGTTAAATTAAGTGGGTTTTGTAGTGGATCCCACAGGGCTATGGAAGCTCCTGCGATTGCCCATATTAAATCGTGTGGAGTAACTAAGGCTCCCGGGGGGATATACAATCCTTTAAAACTGTCTTGCATTGCTAAAACGGCAGCTGCCGGGGTGGTAAGTGGCCAAATGCGATTATTTAATAAAGCATGACCTGGGAAGCCTCGTGCCCAATTGGCCGTTTTGGCTAAGATGCCAGCCTCCTCACGGTCCACCAATTCTGCTCCGTGTTCTAAGGCTAGCCGCCCGACCCAAACCATGGGTGCCTCATCGGCTTTTCGTTGCGTTTCCTTTAAAAACTCTTTAAGTTCGGCCTTAGTACATGTTCGCAGTTCAGTAACCTGCGTGGTGTTGCCTGTTTGTGCATCTATTTTAGTTTTAGTTATCGCAATAGGCAAAGCTTCTGCTACAGTTTCAGATTCAGTTAATTCTGGGGCTGTTGGCAGAGCTGGATACACAGGAGTTTTAGGAGCTTCATATGGGGGTGGCAAAATTTTCTGAGAGGGACTTGGGGAGGGGGAGGTAGTGATGGGCTCTACCTTTTCTGTCTTCTCCTCAGATACCTGTGTTCCCACTGGGTTGGGAAACCCTCCCCCCTCGTGGGGCTCAGTGGCTGGGCTCAAGCCCGTATGTCTGCACTGTCATGGTACAGCCCTGCAGCCCCAGCCCCACAAGCCTGAGCCAGCTGCCCCGGGCTTGGAGACAGGTGCCCCGGAGGTGTTAATCGCAGTGTAGACATAATGTCAGGGCACGTCTACACGGCGACGAAACCCCCACGGCTGGTCCGTGTCTGACGAATCCGGCTTTGCCTCCTTCTGCTCCTTGTTCCCCGGGACGGGACGATCTGCCCAGAGAGGCTGCAGCCAGTGGGTCTGGGCAGGTCCCGGGTCTGGGAATCGCCCCCCATCACCTCCTTCCCCACCCCAGTCCCGTCTCCGCCCCCATCTCCCCCTTCCCCCCCGATCTGCGCATGCCCAGAGCCGGGAGACACAAAACTCTTGTCCGGCCCCGGGAAAGGCTCCAACGGCCCCGCACGAGACAGGCAGAGCCGCAGCGCCCGGCGAGCATTCGCAGCTGGGCCCCGCCCCCCCGCCCGACGTCACGTCCGGTCCCGAGAGAGTCCGGAACTACATCTCCCAGCGTACCCCGGGGGGGCTTCCGCCCTGTTCAGCTCAGGTGAGGGAAGGTTTCAGTAGCTGTTACTGCGCATGTTCCGTGCGATCCCCGTTCGTCCGCCCCCAGGCCTAAAGTTACTTCCGCTGCTGTCTCCCTATGATCCGGGAGCGCGGGCTGAGCGGGGCACGGCCGGGAGCGGCAGGAGGGGCCCAGAGCAGGGCGGGAGGGGGATAAGGGGCGGGGCTGTAGAGAACCCCGCCCCCAATGAGGGGACAGCGCCGCCTCCCAGCCCCGCTCGCGCCGCGCTCCAACGGCCCTAACGGCCGCAACCGTCATGTGTCTCTCTCCCCCTCCCCCACCCTGACGCCCCGCGGGTTGCGTCACTTCCGGACCAGCTGCCGGGGGGAGCTCCGGGCCCGCGGGAGAGCCGGTAAGGGCCAGGCCGGAAGCTGGGGTGAGGCGGTGGGTCCTAGTTCGGCCTCCGTAGCGATGGGAGTGGGGGCGGGTTGAGCTCTCGGTGGGGAGCTGGGAAGCCCCTGGCGGATAAAACGGTCTGTGTCTGGGTGTGTCTCTGTGTGTTGCACTTGCCCATCCCCCACTGCTGCCCCCTTCCCTGCTCCAGGGACCTTCCCCCTCCAAACTGCCCCCCCCCCGGGCTCCCTGCGGCCCGTGTGAAGGGGGGGAGGGGAACCGTCACTGTCTGTGTGTGTTGGACAGTCACATAAAATCCCTTCACACTGCCCCTCCCCCTCCCCTCATTTCATAGCCACAGAAATTCTTCCCCCTTCACCCCCGTCTGGGGGTTTGTCTCTCCTGTTACCAAATGCGGAGTTTGTGACCCGTTTTCTGCACCACTCTCATAGATGGATATAAAAATCCTAAATCCCTCCCCCTCTGCCACTTTCTCTCTTGTTCTCTAGTTCTACTTGAATGGGCCCTGAGTGTTGGGCCCTGTCTCTCTAATGATAAAACACAAACAACATCTCAGATTTACCCCTTTGCTCCGGTTCTTCAGGGTGACTAGACATTTATTACAAATCTTGCCTCTTCTCTCTGTTCATTTATCAAATACTGATGGGAAATACACTCAGATTTTACCTCTGATCAACAACTGACATAAGCTGTGGAGTGTAGGTTTTTTTGAGGGAGGGGGGATTGTTTTTATTCCTGATTTGCCTGACATTATGTTGTGGTGGGAATTTTTCTCTGGGTTGTGTTTTTATATCTATATATTGCATAGCATCCTAGACATGTAGGGCTGCTCAGGATCTCAAGCTGTCATCAAGTCCAGCTCTCTCTGCGGAGGCAGGACCCAGTATATGTAGATTATCTCTGACAGAGGTTTGTCCTACCCGTTCTTAAAAACTTGCAGGGAAGCGACTCCAGCAAGTAGGGATTTATCCAGTGAAGTAGGTGACTTTGAGCCAGACACTGAAAGATCCTTGTGCCTTAGTTTCCACACTGGCCACAGGAGGTTACTAGTATCAGGGGTGCATCCGAAGAAGTGAGGTTTTTACCCACGAAAGCTTATGCCCAAGTAAATCTGTTAGTCTTTAAGGTGCCACCAGACTCCTTGTTGTTTTCTTAGGAGGTTACTAGTACTCCCTCCCCACACTCCTGGGGGCAGCCAGGGATAATTTAGTGGTTTATGGGAATTAGAAGAGGAAAATTCATTAAGAAGGATGATATTTGTGTGTTTATTATTAAATCCCCAGACACACACCAATCCCCATCCTTCTTCCGATGAGCTATAAATAGCTATGATCCTATAGTGAGTTTCTGCCTCTCCCCACTTTCTATAGCAGCGCTTTTAAGAACAGGTCAGGGAAACATGGAAATACTTTGAACCACATTCCAGAAGCCGCTGAGCATGCACAAGGTTCCATCTCTCCAAGGACCTGGCCCCTAGTGCAAAATTATAGACACTCCCCAGAATTCTGAAACGGCCACTTCATAACTGATAGATTGTTATTGATCTATTGACTTCTGGGAATTACCAATAAAAGAAAGAACCCAGTGAAGTTGATACCATGAGGGAAAGATCTCATGTGTCTTTAGATTATACCAATTTGTAATCTGGAACTTTATACAGTAAAATGCCTTATTCGTAGCCCTATGGCGATTGCCTGTATCCTGTAGGGACCTTAATTCTGCCCAGTCCCAGCTGCTTCTGTCCCCCATCATACCCCCAAACCTTTTCACCCCTGGAACTATCAGCTGTCAGTCTTCCTTTGCTGCTACACCTTCCTGACTGGCAGAGAAACTCTAAACTCTATCCCCTTCTCTTTGCCTCTGAAAGTTGCCTTTCCCAGGGCTTTGCTGCCTGTGTGAATGGCAGATAGGGATGGGGAGCCATCACTTTCTGTGTATTTACTGAACATTCATCTAGTCCCTGACACCTTCAATTATGCAGAGGAACATTTATTGTAATTATTTATCTTTTTTAAAAAAACAAAAACGTCAAAGATCAGGTCTGCAGCCTACAAACCCTCCATGTCTTTAAACAGCAGTATGTTGGGCCCTGCCAGAGTATCAAGTTCAGCAAAATTCAAACCTCCAAAAACTAGGAAATAGAGAGCTAATGTGCACGCCAATGCAACCTTAACTCTGCCCCCTGGAGGTGGCAACAGCCACTGGGCATTATCTGCCAGCACTCCAGCTGCACTCACTGTATTAGGTGTAGCTTCACTGAAAGGTAGAGGCGTTGGTTGGAGCAACTTGGTGGAGGTGTGATTGTGATATAAGAAGATCTGGGTCTGAGTCCCCCATGTGTGCGATGAAAGGAAAGAGGTGCATGTGTACCTTGAGCTTCCAGTCTGTGTCTGCACTGAGCTGTGCATGTTGTCATGTGGAAACGGGACTGTTTGCCATGGGAATGGTCAGCAGTGAGATGGGATGTGGGAGCAGTCTGTGTGCTTAACGATGGGTAAGTGAATGTAGAACGTTAGCTGGAACTTCTGTGAGTAAGGATGAAAGAATTGTAAAAAGGAGTGAAGAGGTGTTCAGTTGACAAGTGTGCGGCTGTTTCTGGGGAGCAGCCCAGTATCTGAGTTTGGAACAGGTGTCAGTAGCTCCTGTACAGCGCAGCTGACCTAAAACCAAATTCCGTCTTAGCAAAGATAAAGTGCTTTATTGTGTGTCCTGGTTGACATTTTCCTTAGTACTTTAGTGATAGGCACTATCTCAAATAGCTGGGTGCACGTAGGTGTGTTGTAGGAGTAAAGAAAGGGTCATTGCTCACGTGGGTCAGAATTGGGATTACATTGGTGTGTACCTTATCTCTGCATTTCCCGATTATTACAAGTTTGAGTTTTGCTGATCTCTCTTCTGGAGGGGCACCAGACAGCTTCGGGCAACCTTAAATTCTGCGTTCATAAAGTTTTTTGTAAGTGAATTTCCTAGCTTTTTGCACAGAGCGATGTTGGCGGGAAGAGTTAGCAGCCCTATAGGCAGTTGTGGGTCTCAAACAAGTTTGCAATCGGAGGCACAGAGAAGTGCAATGAGTTACCCAAGGTCGCCCAATAGGCCTGTGGCAGAGCCAGGAATAGTCCCCGTCCAGTGCTCTCTCCATGTAGGTGCTGGGTGATTGTGAAGTGTTGTTCTCCTCTCCTGTACTTTTTTCATTACGGTGGAATGGGAATAATGGTCATGCTTTCAAATGTTTCTCTCTTCCCCACCTCCTCCTTCTGCCACCATTTCCAACTCGGTCTCCCCTTCTTTCAAGTGTTTGTCATGGGCAGTTGGTAACAGAGCCAGCGAGAGAAATCTCTGACCTGGTCTGTGCCCCTGCTGGGCCTTCTGCTCCTGGTCTAGCCATGTCCTAGCTCTGCCCCTCCTCCAAACAGGCCCTTTCCCCGATACACTGTGGCCTGCCCCTCCACCCCATACATGTGTAACATGTACCTTTAAACTATTCATATTTTGGATTTCAGATAATTAAATTTGTTACCTTCAGCTCCTCCCCATAAGTTTCAGTTGTTTGGTGGTGCTCTGATGGTTTTCCATTGACAGTTTGGGAGGGAGCAAGGCTGGTCACTTGAGCATTGCGTTACCTTGCGAGCTGACTAGTGAGAAGTGACGACTCCCTTTTGGGTGGAAGGGCCGATCCCGGGGCCCGTTACCTCTCGGTGATTGATTTTTCCATTCCAAGTTCATAAAGTAGATTTTCAATATAAATGCTTTGTTCCTTACATATGACCCGTACGTTGATCTCTCTGTCTTTGAGTCTTGACCAGCTATGAGCTTTCTGTAGACACCTCACATGACCATCCTCCGAGAGATGTTTGGTGTGATGATTTGTCAGGTCTCAGGTGAGAGCTGCTGGCAAAGACCAAGTGACCCTTTGCCAAGGGATCTCTGTGTCACTGTCTGACCCCCGTAGGCCAGGGAGAGGATGACTTTCTGCCAATGGCCTTCAGGACGGGTGCTGAATTCACTGCAGTGCCCCATGTCCCCTCTCCATTTTCCTTCTCGGTGTGCTGTCTGGGACACTGCTCCACTTCCTGCTCTACAGACCACCCCGTATCTACTCCATGTGCCAGGCTGCTGGCAGACCCCAGTGAGAGGCCATCCAGCCCATCAAACTGGTGCCCAACTGCTGGGCCTCCCTCAGTGAAGGCCAGAGCACCGAATGGTGCCAGCCCTCTTTTTGGGGCTGGAGATGCTCCACAGACTGTTCTCTTCCCAGGGTTGCCCCAGTCTGACTAGAGTAGGTCTCTCCTGTTAACTCCTGCTCCAGTCCTGGCATGATTTGCAGGTGTGGAGGAGCTGGGCCAGTCCAGACTAAAGCAGTTTAACCCCTTCTGTGCCAGCGAGGGGTTTATATAGCCCTTCACAGGCAGCCAGGCCCAGGAAATGGCCCCCTATCAGCCACATGCCTGATGTGGTGGGGTGACCCACTGGCAGCATTGCCTTTCAGGGTGCTGCTCCCTCCTGCTCCCACTCCCTCCCCTCCCCCTTTACTGCCACCACAGTGCCTGTTACCTTGACTTCCTGAGGGGTGACCCCTAGAAGGTGTGTTTTGTTATCTCTTTCCCACCCCCACCCCACCCCGGATCCGTTGTGCACCCTCTGTCACTCACCTCTGTCTCAGGAGACAAGGCGGGTCATGGGGCGTGGGTGATGCTATGCTGGAGATCCATCATCACTCCAGGAGTGGCAGCCTTGACCCTCCTTGAAGGTTGCCAGGATACTGACTTGCACTGGCGGAGAACTGGGGCTTGACTGAGTCCATGGACCATTTGGCCCACACTGTATCACTGTAAAGCCTGCTCTGCATTGCTGCCAATTGCTGCTGGTGGCGTTGTGCCCGTAAGTCTCTGTAACTCTGTCTTCAGTGACTCGAGGGCATGAGCACCAGCCTCAGGCAGACTGGTAAGAAGCAGGGAACAAACCCCAGATTGGTTGTGGGGGTCTATATGTAGATTTCACCAACCAAGTATCCAGTGTAAACGTTCAGGCACTGTAACAGCAGTAACATGGAATCACCGACAGTTCTCTTGGGTCATCCCGTATATCTCACCACACAGGTGAGCTCACCTTTGTGACAGATGGTCCCTTACTCCAGGGGTTCTTAACCTTTTTCTTTCTGAGGCCCCCCCCAACGTACTATAAAAAGTCCATGGCCCATGTGGGCCAAAATACTGGCTTTTTGCATACAAAAGCCAGGGCTGGTGTTAGGGGGTAGCAAGCAGGGCAACTACCTGGGGCCCCATGCCACAGAGGCCCCCACAAAGCTACATTGCTTAGGCTTTGGCTTTAGCTCCTTGTGGTGGGGCTCAGGGCCCTGGACTTCAGCCCCATGCACTGGGACTTCAGCTTTCTGCCCTGGGCCTTGGCAAGTCTAATGCTGGCCTTGCTTGGCAGCCCCCCTGATAACTGCTCGTGCCCCCCATGGGGCTCCACACCCCTGGTTGAGAACCACTGCCTTACACCACGAATCTCAGCAATGTTCACGTTACTGCCAGTCCCAAAGGATCAGTCACTTCCTTAGGTCAATTGAATCTTAGATTTCCCACAAAGACAACACTTGTAGCCAGTCCTGTCATAACCTGTATTGAGATTTATTTAAAACAAAATGAGAGTTGTTTACAAAGTTAAAGCAGGTTAAAGCAGAAGCAGACAAGTTACAGTCTTCAATTTCAAAAGGCAATGGAAGCTTCTATAACCGGGGTCGGCAACCTTTTAGAAGTGATGTGCCGAGTCTTCATTTATACACTCTAATTTAAGGTTTTGCGTGCCAATAATCCATTTTAACGTTTTTAGAAGGTCTCTTTCTATAAGTCTATAATATATAACTAAACTATAGTTGTATGAAAAATAGCTACGGTTTTTAAAATGTTTAAGAAGCTTCATTTAAAATTAAATGAAAATGCAGAGCCCCCCAGACGGGTGGCCAGGACCAGGGCAGTGTGAGTGCCACTGAAAATCAGCTTGCATGCCGCCTTCGGCACACATGCCATAGGTTGCCTACCCCTGTTCTATATTAAGCAAGCTCTACATATTCTTAAGGACTAACCCAGTATAAGGAGCTTAGAATCTCTTCCTTATGCCTAGAAACTTTGCCCCCCCAGAGTCCAAGCAGCATAGAGATAATCAGTTCCTTCAGCATGGGTTTTTTAATCCTCTTTCTGCCATGTGCTCTGAGCTGCAAACTCAGCTAATGAGAGGTCAAGAGCACAACAATAGTCTTGTGTCTTCTTTAACGTCCCATAATACTCTATCTGGTATTGATGGACCTTTCCTGCCGGGCAGGGTGTAATGCATTCTGTTGCCAATCAGCACTTCTCCTAGGTAAAGTCTATCCCCTGTCTGGTGATTTAAATAGTCAGAGAGGCTCACAATGCAACTGGTTAGTTATTAACCCAGGCAGCAACTCAATAAATCATTCAATAAAGTCTAAACACATTCTTGTCATTCTAATACCTGTTTTAACAATACTAACGCTGGTGAGTCAGACTGATTCCAGCTATGCATTTGTCCATGTTCAATTAAGACACGGGGACTTTTGCAAGAGCTAACACCTCATTTGCCAGTGTCACAGGCAGGATGGGCAGGGATGGTGTCTCTGGCCTCAGATTGCCAGAAGCTCGGAATGGGTGACAGGGGATCGATCACTAGATGATGATCTGTTCTCTTCATTCCCTCTGAAGCACCTGGCATTGGCCACTGAGCTAGATGGACCATTGGTCTGACGCAGTGGGCCATTCTTATGTTCACAGGTTCTATCAGCAGAATCTACTCATCTGGACACAGTGGGGAGCCACAGAAAGAAACAAGGTGTGCTGAGACAAGGAGGCCCAGTCTCAGAGCCCCCAGGGTCACGCTTGCCAAAAGCTAAAACTAGGCCCAGCCCATGAAAGGGGGCACTCCCAGGAGAGACTGTATAAAGGCTGGAGCATCAAACAACTTAATAAACCTGAGACAGCTGCCTTGGGACAATGACAGGGAGAATCCCCCAATGTGACTCCTTTGATTCTGCTCTTCATTGGCCTTTGGTTCATAGAATCCTAGAACTGGAAGAGACCTCGAGAGGTCATCTAATCCTGTCCCCTGCACTCAAGGCAGGACTAAGTATTATCTAGATAATCCCTGAGAGGTGTTTGTCCAGCCTGCTCTTAAAAATCCCCAATGATGGAGATTCCACAACCTCCCTAGGCAATTTATTCCAGTGCTTAACCACATTGACAGGAAGTTTTTCCTAATGTCGGATCTAAACCTCCCTTTCTGCAATTTAAGCCCATTGCTTTTTGTGCTATCCTCAGAGGTTAAGAAGAACAATTTTTCTCCCTCCTCCTTCTAACAACCTTTTATGTACTTGAAAACTGTGATCATGTCCCCTCTCAGTCTTCTCTTCTCCAGACTAAACAAACAAACTTTTCAATCTTCCCTCATAGGTCATGTTTTCTAGACCTTCAATCATTTTTGTTGCTCTTCTCTGGACTTTCTCCAATTTGTCCACATCTTTCCTGAAATATGGCGCCCAGAACTCGACACACTGCTCCAGTTGACGCCTAATCAGCGCGAAGTAGAGCGGAAGAATTACTTCTCGTGTCTTGTTTACAATACTCCTGCTAATACATCCCAGAATGATGTTTGCTTTTTTTGCAACAGTGTAACTCTGTTGATTCGTATTTAGCTTGCGATCCACTGTGATTCCCCCACCCCCGATTCCTTTGCACAGTACTCCTTCCTAGGCAGTCATTTCCCATTTTGTATGTGTTCAACTGCTTGTTCCTTTCTAAGGCTAGGTCTATACTACCCGCCTGAATTGGCGGGTAGAAATCGACCTCTCGGGGATCGATTTATCGCGTCCCGTCGGGACGTGACAATCGATCCCCAAATCGGCGCTCTTACTCCACCAGCGGAGGTGGTAGTAAGAGCCGCCGACGGGAAGCCGCAGAAGTCGATTTTGCCGCCGTCCTCACAACGGGGTAAGTCGGCTGCGATACGCCGAATTCAGCTACGCTATTCACGACTCCCCCCTGTAGTGTAGATGTACCCTCAGTGAAGTAATTTGGATTTGTCCTTGTTGAATTTCATCCCATGTACTTCAGACCATTTCTCCAGTTTGTTCAGATCATTTTGAATTTTAATCCTATTCTCCAAAGCACTTGCAATTCCTCCCAGCTTGGTATCCTCTGCAAACTTGATAAGTGTGTCATGGAAAAAGTCACCCACGCATTGATTTTAGTTCACAGACTCAAGCCTGAGGCCAGTTTATTGCAATACATACCAACACGTTGGGGCGACAGTCCGAAAATTGTCACACCTAGCAGCAGCTCGCAGGCTGCTTTATTCCGTCAAACCACAAGCATAGTACAAATAATACGTCATTTATGCGAAAATAAGAGTAGGGGTCTGTCCCTTTTTCCCAGTAGCTTCCTCATTATTTATGAGAATTGGGTGCCTATTGGGTGGGGGGTTTCTTGGTGGTTTTGACATGGGTGGTACTTGGCACCAGTGGGGGTGTTGTTTTTCATCAGGGTACATATTGTTTTCCCGGGGGGGGTCTGGGGGTTTATTACAGGACGCCCAAAGATGATATATGATTGGCTGGTGGCAGGTAGCTGGAGGAGCTGGCCTTTACTAGAAGCAATTTCTTCATATAAGCTGTTACTATGTTTCATCAGCAAGCAGTTATCATGTTTTTTTATCTATAAGTGGTTATCATGTTCCTAAGGCCTTTCGCATGGCTTCCTCCCTTCCCTCCTCTGGTCATAGCCCATGACCGTATTTGACAGAGAAGCTTAGCTTTGTTCTGGTTCTGGCCTGTACTGTTTTATGTAAAGGCCGTCTGTGCAGTCAGCTTTTGTCAGAGGGCCTGAATTTGGGCCTTCGGTGTTACTGTGGCTATCATTAAAAAGGCTACCTAGTTCTTTTTCCCCACAAGTGTAACAGAGAGAGACTGCTAGTGGGAGGGTTTCACCATGTGTCAGAGAGTTACACCCTGGTGGGAGGGGGCTAGGCATGTACTGGAATAAGGTCACTCTGTGCTTCGCAGTGTGGCAGAACCTAGAATGTCCATTACCAGGGAAAAATCTGGGGGGAATCGGCTTGTGGAATGGACAAAATCCCCATCTGAATTTTCTCACATTGCCCTTCTCACCCTGGCAGGCTACAGAATAACGTACACGTTTCGCTGCAGATCATCCCCTCCTTCCAGGGGGAAGGAAATGGCTGCAATGGAGCTGGCTCAGGTAAGGGATTATCAGGGAGCTGGTGATGGGTTCTGCTTGGAGAGAGAGGAGCAGTAAAGGCATAGGATGGTGGGAGCTGCTAGAGGTGGTGGGAGATAGGAACTATCTAGGGTGGAGAAAGGGAGGGGACAGGACATGACAAACTTGCTGAGACTTGTGTAATCTAGGGTGTAATGGGTTGTCAACCCGATATGCAGTCTGATGGGCTTCTGGGAACCGCTGTGCCCTCTATCCTTGAACCTGGGCTGGCCCTTCTCACACTGCTTTGCTGGAGATTTAGCCAGCCTCTCCAGGCCTTTTTATCACCCAACACGACAGCAGGTGGCGCCACACGCTCAGTTAAGCTACCTGAGTGCTTTACCTAAGCCACTTAAGGACAGACACAAAACAACCACCAATTTCCCAGCGATAAGTGATAGCAAATAGATCAAAGCAGATTACTTGGCACATAACCAGAAACTCAATCTGAGCCTAGCATACTAGATAAGAGGTGGGTAAACTGTGGCCTGCAGGCCACATCCAGCCCGCAGGACCCTCCTGCCCGGCCCCTGAGCTCCTGGCCCAGGAGGCTATCCCCTGGTCCCTCCCCTCCTGTTCCCCCTCCGCGGCAACCACAGCTTGCCCCGCCCCTGGCACAATCCTCTGGGCGGTGGGGCTGCGAGCTCCTGGGGCAGCGCCACTGCCGAGCCCAGCCTGACCCGGTGTTCTGTGCTGCATGGTGTGTGGCTGTAGTGCTGCCAGCCACCGGTGCTCCAGGCATGGTAAGGGGGCAGGTAGCAGGGAGGTTGGATAGAGGGCAGGGGAGTTCGGGGTGGTGGTCAGGAGGCGGGGGTGTGGATAGGCGTCAGGGAGGTCACAGGGCCGCTCAGAGGGCGGGGCAAGTGGGGCAATTTGCCCCGGGCCCTGCAGGAGCCCCCACAAGAATATAGTATTCTATAGTATTGCAACTTATTTTTATGGAAGGGACCCCCAAGATTGCTTTGCCCCAGGCCTCCTGAATCCTAACCGGCCCTCCCTACAATTTCCAAAACCTGATGCGACGCTCAGGCCAAAAAGTTTTCCCACCCCTGTACTAGCTGGATAGAATTTGAATTAGCAGTTTCTCATCCTGACTGATGATTGAAGCAGTCCACCAGCACATCCCCCAGTTTAGTTTTTGTTCCTCAGGTGTTTCCAGGAGTTCTCTTCTCTAGGAAATGAGGCCAAGTGATGACGTCACACCCCACCTTATGTAGTTTTTCCATATGGCGGGAACCCTTTGTTCCAAACTCAGTTCCCAGTCCCCTTTGTGGAAAAATACAGGTACCAAAATGGAGTTGATTGTCATGTGGTCTGGTCACATGCCCTGCTTCAGCCATGACTCATAGGCTGGCTGGAACATTCACAGGAAGGGGAAGCTCTTCCATGGTCCATTGTCTTTGTTGATGAGCCATCAGCACTTTCTGGCTTCTTCACTGTTGTACCTGAAAGGCTCGTTGTGGATGTTACCCAGAGTAAGAACATTTGAAATACAGATACATAGTCAATATCCATAACTTCAGATACAAACATGATCCATGCACACAAATAGGATAATCCTATTCAGGAAATTATAACTTTTCCAATGACCCTGCACATGACGCATCTTGCACAAAATACCTCATAATTATGTCCTAATCATATTATAATCCTACCACTATGGTGAATATGGGGTGTAGTGTCAGATAGGGGATAATTTCAAGGCATAGGAGTTGGGAATGGAACTTTCCCTCTTTGTGGAACAGGAAATAACCCCCCAGCCAGAGCTGGGAAAACTTCCCAGACTCCCAGTGCTGGAGCCTGAATCTACTGACACTTTATTAGTTACCACCACCCCAAATCTTTGTGGCAACTGCAAACTTTATCAGTGATGATTTTATATTCTCTTCTAGGTCATTGTAAAGAATGTGAAATATCACAGGGCCAAGAACCAATCCTTGCGAGAACCCTCTAGAAAGAAATCCACTCGACCATGGTTCCCCATTTACAATCCCAGTTTTTAATCTATTTAATATATGCCGCGTGTATTTTCTATCTTGCTAGTTTTCAAGTCACAATATTGTGCTGAACCAAGTCATATGCCTTACAGAAGTCTAGGTATATTACATCAGTACTATTAGCTGTGACCAAACTTGGATCTCATCCAATATGGATATCCAGTTAGTTTGATAGGATCTATTGTGTCTAAACCTTTGTTAATGGGTACTAATTATATTAGCCCCCCTTTAATTCTTTATTAATGAAATCCAGTATTGGCTGCTCCATTCTCTTGCCCAGTATCAATTTTAGACTAACACTCTTGTAATTAGATAGGTCATCTCTTTTACACTTTTTAAATATTAGCACAGCATTAGCTTTATTCCTGTCTTATGGAATTTCCCCAGTGTTCCAAGTCCTAATTAAAATCAACATTAACAGTCCATCACGCTCCTCCACCAGCTCTTTCAAAACTCTTGTTATCTGGACCCACTGATTTAAACACATCTAACTTTAATAGATGGTGTTTAACGTCCTCGTGAGTTATGTTGGAATGGAAAGACTGTCGGCGTCAACATCTTATGATAAGACTTACATCATCTGTTTTTCTCCAAATCCAGGAGAGAAATATTTATTGAACACTTTTACCTCTTCTGCATTATTTTTGATAATTCTGCCATTTCCATCTAATAATATACTACTACCATTTTTAGGTTTAATGTGGTACTTAATATACTTTTAAAAACTTCCTTCTTATTCTCATTGATTGATCATTGATTTCTGATAGCTTCCCTTACCAATTTTCTACAGTTCTGACCTTCTAACTTATATTCTTTAGTATTGACTTCCCCTTTCTTCCGTATATTTTATTTGTAGAGTGTTGGGATTCCCCATCTCCTATATCAAGCTCTGGCTAGTAGGTATGTGATAAATGTGAAGACCCTGCCTCCGTCTGTCAGCTGGGAGACACAAAAGTTTTCTCTTTCTACCCTCGGATGCCTCCTGGCTGCTCTAGGCAAGGTGGGGTGGGACTCTGTTAACATGTGCCTCCCGGAGCTTCCATTTACCTGGTGCTGCTGTTCCGTGAATAGTGGAGTTGTGACTGGGGCAGCAGGTACTGAGTCTTGGACTCTTTCTCTTTCAGGGGCCGATGACTTTTGAGGAGGTGGCTGTGTATTTCTCCAGGGAAGAGTGGGCTCTGCTGCACCCTATTCAGAGAGCCCTCTACAGGGATGTCATGCAGCAGAACTATGAGAATGTGACCTCGCTGGGTAAGGATTCCCGTCCCCTCAGTTATTAGATCCTAAGGGGGTCTCTAAAGAAGCAAAGTGGTAATAACTTTATACCTTTATTCATAATACAAGTTTTGACAAGTTTCCTTGCCCCCCCCCCCTTTTTTTTTTGCCTTATCTCCCACCCACTAGTATAATTTTTGGACATGTGCCTTTTTGGTGTTATCGGTCATTTTAAAATTGCATTTCATGTGTCATTATTGGATACATTAATATCTCCATTAATAACTGTAGCTTTCATGCCTTTTCCTCATTTTAAGAGGAAAATACGCTGCCTGTAGAATTCTAAATTAAGTGAATAGTGTAGGACTAATGCATGGCTTGTGTGACAGTCAGATGAGCTCCTCTTTTGATAAGAGAGCGTATAATGTTGCCATTCAGGACCCCACAGGTGAAGGGAGAACAGAGCTATGGGAGGGGAGGAAAACGGGGGGGAGTAGATAATTCTGGGGTGCCAGGACATGGGGAGGGTGTGTATAGGATTAGATCTAAGAAGCAGCAGGGAGGGATGAGGTAGTGAGAGACGAGAAGGGAACACGAGAAGTTCCCAAGATTCCGGGAGGTGGTGCCGGCTGAGAGTAATGGGATGAAGGGCAGGGGAGTGTGTAGGAAGGGCACCCAGGAAGTGGGCTGGGTGGGTCAGTGGGAGGGAGGAGAGGTTTGGGGATCTACAGCTTTGGGGATCCCAGACCTTTAACCCCAAATCCCTATCCAAGCCTTGTTGCTTTAGAACCTACACTCCAGTTTTATTTCTGTTCAGTTTCACTTAATCGTACATTTCCCCCCCCAAATATTATTATTTTAACTCTTGACCTCCCTCTCCCACTCATTACCCCTCTCCCCATATAAACTCCCCATCTCTATGCACAGCGACCCTGGCCAACCATCCTGAGTCCTTGCTGTATTCCTTCCTCCCGTACCAGGGCCCCTACCCAGGCAGAAATGGGGACTTGGTTGATGATGTCACAGGGTGGTAGTGTAGCCTGTACAGTTTTTACACCTATAAGATTACGTGTTGGGGTACAAGTTGTCCTTGTAGATGGCTACTCCAAGTTAATGGAGGAGATTAAATTTGGTGAAACACACAGAACTTGATTTAATACAGACAGTTATAATTGAAATCATAGGCAAAAATCAATACACGTAACGATTAGATTAAGATAAGTACAGTAAAGAGGGTCTTGCACTGTGCATACTTACAAATTATGGACACCATTGGAAACAAAGATGGAGGGGCAAGGGCAACCATCAGAAGGGAGGCCCTGCTTCAGTTTACACTGTCTCGGGGACCCGACAAAATGAAAAAATGGTAACTAGGAGAGGTATTTTATCCGCTTTCTTAGGGTAATAGGATGGCTATATACGATATCTGCTCCTTTACTCTGATTACAATAACGGCAACAGCTGCCCCAAACCATATGTGGCCTTTGGGAAGTCCATAATTATTCATCAAGCATTAATACTCATGATTTACATCACTTTATTAATAATTCCAATATATGACTGCAGTCCAACTGCTGAGATTCTTCATAGCAACCTAATTGCTGAAGCCTGCCCCAAACTTCCTTCTTTCAGAATCCTGTAGCGTATTGCACCTGTTTGCGGTTCCTCGTTAGTCTCTCAAAATGGGGGTGCCAAATATCTGACCTGGGATTCTCTCCTTAGGCCTATTCAGATACATTCCAGACTTCAGCATAACTACTCCCACAGAGCCTCAACCTAATAGAAGACCCTTTATTGTAGCAAGCTTAGGCTATGTCTACACTACTGCGGTAAGTCAACCTATGAACCTTAGGTAGAGTTACCGCAGGGTCTACTTACCTTACTCTTCTCGTCAGGGTAGAGTACAGGGTTCGACTGCAGAGACATCTGTAGTCGATTTGGTGGGTCTTTACTAGACCCGCTACATCGACCACCGGGTGGATCGATCTCAGAGCTTTAATCCCAACTGTAGTGTAGTCCCTGCCCTTAATAACCCATTTATCTATGTTCACCTCCTTGCCCCTCCACGCATGTTCCAAGCTAATAAGCAATACTCTGAGAATGATGTTTTACCTCTAGCAAGTATAAAATTGCCCACAAGACATGAGACTAGGTCATAGATCATAAAATCAGGTCGGGGTCAGCAGGAGTGAGAGTTTGGAGAGAGTCTTGTCCCCCCTCTCCCCATCTGCAGCAGCCACAAGCTGTTTTCCCTCCAGGCTCCTTGGATCTTTGAGCCTGTCCCTCCTAGGTTTCATGGCCCAGTTCTTGTTTCTTACATTCTCCTTTTCTGGAAGTATTAGAGGCTGTTGCTCCTGAATTTTAGGGTTTAATTCCCCAGCCTTCTCCACACGCTGGGGAAGTTTAATTCTCCCTCCCATTACACCTGAGTCACTCGATTTCTTAATACCCCAAAATGTGCTTTTGCGATGTCACAGTTCTGGGGTAGATAAGCCTTTGACCTGCCTCTGCGGTCTGCTCAAGAAATGTGCTCTCCTGTATCAGGCCTCTAGCCAGCCCCTCTCTATGGGTGGGGACCCACGTGCCTCTCCTTTTTGACTAAGGTGTGAGGATTGCAGCTTGTCCTCCACTGTGTTCACTGGAATAAGCTCCCACTCCTGTGCTTTGCTCTCTCTCCAAGGGCTGTGAGCTGTGTGTGTGTGAGATAGAGGTGGGAATTTTGGTGATACTTGTATGGTGCCAATACACACCTCAGTTTCCCTCTGTTATGGGGATTGCTATGATTATAAAGAGCAGGAGACCTGAGGTGTTCTGTCACATAGCTGTTATGGGGTGATATGAATGGGTTATTAAGGACTGGCTGGGACCAGCCTACATCAATGGAATACCCAACAGAGACAAGGGAATAATTATTACCTGTCCATGGGAGGATATCTGTTTGGCTGAGTGAAGCATACATGGACTCATTATGTTTTTGGGATCCCGAAGAACTGGGCTCGCAGACCC